GATATCAGTCACTTATATTATCAATACATATTACTTTTTGCATCTTCCATTGATATCTTAAATTTAATTGATATATTAAATGAAATTTAAATATCAGTATTAGTTTTTGTCCGAATAGTGGTCTAAGCTATAAGAGCATCACCATTTAAGCTTTTTTTATTTAAGCTTAATCTTCTACCATTTAATAAGAAAAAAATTGGCTCTATTCTTTTTTGTCTTGTAATTAGGCATTCTTGAATTTTTCCTTCTAGCATAAGCCGTCTTAGTTCTTTCTATTATTTTTATTTATTAGTCTTCTCTATTTTATTAATATGTGCCCAATTTAGTGTTTTCAATCGTATACTGAAGATATGTAAACAAATATATTAATTTTTCGTCTTTTAAGACTGTTTATTAAGACTGTTTTTTGTAAAATATATTTTGTTATATTATAGTGGTAAATATAAAGTAGAGCGGGGCTTAAAGGTTCGCGGGTGAAAATGTCCACCACCGATAACTTAATAACAAGTAAAGTTAAAATTTGTTTTTAACATATTTGAAAGTAGAGGGAGAAAGATGTATAACCAGCCATTACCTTGATTATTACATCGTTGCTATCCGAAAATAAAATGCAATTTTTGAAAATCTATAACAAAAGTATTTTTTTCGTTCATAGTTGTGAGCACTGTGGGTGAAAATGTCCTGTTTGTTGTTCAATTTATGAGACCTTCATATAAATTTTAAGTATACGTTATTTAAATTTAATTATAAGATATTCTTTTAATAATAAGTTTTATTCAACCGTTTTTTACATAATCTCTATAAAAGCTAACACGTGGGTGGGGTAAAAAGGATCAAATTTAATTATAAGATATTCTCTTAATTATAAGTTTTATTCAACCGTTTTTTACATAATCTCTATAAAAGCTAACACGTGGGTGGGGTAAAAAGGATCAACTGAGCCTTTACCCTGGCTAAGATTAAAATAATAAAAAATAGTAAATGAAAATGTAAAAGCTAAAAAACAATTTTACGCGAAATAAATTAAATTATTAGTTATTTGAACTTTGCTGATGAATATTTTTGACGAAATACCTGTACAAGGTTATATACATACGGTGTAATCTATGTAAAAAGTATACCCATGATATTTATTTTGCATTTATTGAATGTAGCTATTATTTCGTAAAATCCCTTCAAAATTAAAAATAAAACATTGAACATCTTTGCCCTTGCCGTCCCATTTCACCCTGCCTATGGGGCAAAAAGGACCAAGGAACAATTTTTTGGAAAAACAACAAAAAACACATTTCTATAATGATGAATTAGGTAGGAGTTTTACTGAACTTAGTCATCTAGTTATTTTTTTATTGTGTTATTTGTTATGATAAAGTTGGTTTGGGTTTTACGATACAATTGCTCAAAGTCAAATTGGTCCTTTGTGCCTTACACTATATATCAAAAACAGTATTTGTTATATATTTTAAAATTTCAAAAGTAAACTAAGTAGTTCAACATATGCAGGCAAAATTTCATACAAATTGAGACGCAATGGAAGCGTTTTACTTAAAAAAAAAGAATATTTATGCCTTGGCATTTAATCACTGTATTTACTAATCTTACCTAAGTCATTCCAGCATCATCAGATTTTCGACTTTGGATGATTTCGAGCAAAAAGCACTTCTAATATCAGTCACTTATATTATTAATATTAATGTTTGCATCTTCGATTGAATTATTAAATTGAATGTGGCCGTTTCTTCTAAAATGTTATCGTTATTACATTTATGAACCCTATATGGTCACTTTGGGTCCTATTAAAAACGATATAGATTTCAATTGTTACATTACACACTATGATATGTCGTGTAACTTCATATGCTAGATTTGATACTCAACTTATAATTAACATAATTTTAATATGGGAGCTGTTATACTTGAGATATTGCATATTACATAGTAGTTGTCAACAATATTATTTGTTCTTTAGTTCCATATAAAATGCCATTCTGTATATGCGGATCTCTTTATTATTTGCGGATTATTTTATCATCTTAGAACGTATTCTTTATAATCCCATATGAAATGTCATCCTGTATTTGTGGATTCTTTCATTCGCGTCATTTTTATAAAACGTATTCCGTGAATAAGGAGCTTCTACTATATAAAAAGAAATCTTTACTTCATGAGTCCTTTACCAGTTCGGCCCTGTAATCGGTACCCTAGTTGTGCAAGTTTGTTTTAAATATTGCATTCTCTGCTTATGTTACGCCACCGAAATCGTACCTACTATGTGTAAAGACCATACGAGAGTCGTATCGTTCATGGCGTGCATTAAATGCACTCGCACTCGCACTCGCATTTGTAACACTACCACAGCTTTAGTTATACTGTTTAAACAAATTGTAACAAAAGAAGTGAAACTAGAGAATTAGTCACGGTACACGACTCTGCTGTGACGTCTTTACTCGCAGGGTACCGTATCAAGGAAACTCGTTATAATAATCAGATTATTTATGGTAATCGTCTAGTTAATCCTTTAAATCTCCATTTACGTAATGGCTTAATAATACTTTTTAAATTTATAATAATGTTATACAAATTTAAATGTAATTCGCAATTGTCGAAGCAATAGAGTAGAGCGGGGCGCAAAGGTCTAATTTGTCTTTACATCAGCGTTTTTCAATCTTTTCTTCCTTGCACACCTCTTTCGAAAGAAAAAAATATTGCGCCACCACCCCTAATTTATCTAACAATTTAATTAATTTAAAAATTAACAAAAAAGGATACTTTTGTTTATTTACTTAAGTCAGTCTTGAGTAAGCATGTGAATATTCGGGATGATTCGTGTGCTTATCTTTTGTTTATAGACCTGCAGCCCACTCGGCTACAAACGCAAAAACCAAATATATTTTGATTGCACTAAAAGTATAGTATATTTATGCTGTTACATTTGTCCTGACAAAATTGCAGCGAGAATTGTGGATTTCTTGCATGTATTTTGCTGATTAGTTTTTGACACTTACTTAGCATTTAAAAATAATATTTTTGAAACAGCTTTGCGCCCCTGGAACGGTACGGCGACCCTGCAGGGGGGCGCGCCCCACAGCTTGGGAATCGTTGCTTTAAGTACATACTTATACTGTCTAAACCATAGGTTCCCAAACTTGTTTGTGTCGTGGACCCCTTAGGCTTTGCCATGGAACTCCTATTAAACCGATATCGATTTTTTTTATTTCTATTTGTACCAAAGTTTAGATTAATTAATTGACTTTTGAATAATAATAATTAATAGATATTAACAAGGTGTGTTGTGATCCACTATTGTGGATGCCTTAAATACCTTTTCGCTGATGCAGACCCCTTGAGAGTTATCATGGACCCCTGGGGGTCTATATGGACCACTTGGGAAATCACTGGTCTAAACCGTAGTTCATTTGACAACACATAACACTATCGTACTATGTTCAATAAAATTTTCAGTTAATTTCCTAATGATAGAAATGTGTCTTTTTGCGGTTTCTCGAAAATTTGTCACCTGGTTTTTTTACCCCATAGACGGGGTAAAATGGGGCGACCAGGTGGCAAACAGGCTCAATGCATTATTTTTACATTCAAAGGGATTTTAAGAAATAATTTCTACATTATTCAACCAATGCAAAATATGAATTTTATGGGTACATTTTATACAGAGATAACACTGTATACAATCTTGATCTAGTATTTCATCAGAAAAAATCATTAGCAGGGTTGGAAAAAATATTTATTGAACATATCTCTTATGAAATAGCTTTTTTAACTTAGTTTACTTTTTTATTCACTTTTTTAATATTTATACTTTTGCCAGGATAAAAGCTCAGATAGTAGGTACTTTTTACCTCACCACATGTGAGCTTTCATAGAGGTTATGTAAAAAACTGTTGAATCTGACTTAAAATTAACAATACATTTCAAAATTATATTAAGGACTAGTTAACTAAACAACAGTGCTCACAGCCAAAAAAACTAAGAACGATACTCTACAAACATAAACAAAATACTTTTGTTATGGATTTTCAAAAATTGCCGTTTAATACTTGATAGTTTCGTCTTAAGAATTAAGGTGATGGTTGGTTATACATATTTCTCCCTCCACTTTCGAATATTGTTGTTAGAAAATTTTAAACTTTACTTTATTTATTAATTCTTAACTTTTACATACTTTTGCGATATTAGTGGTGGATTTTTTTCCCGCAGACCTTTAAGCTCCGCTCTACCCTATTATTAGGAACTATTTCAAATTTTAAACATATAAAAAATCTAGAAAGCTTTTATCACAATCAACTTCAAGATCAACAATCAAGAATATAAAAAATATACAATAAATGTAAATTATTATATTTTTGTATTTTTTATATATTTCATAAATTTCTATAATTTAAGAAAAAAAACAAAATTGTTTTTAATACTAGTCATGGATTTCTTTTAAACATAAAATCGTTCCTAGACTATGATTTCATTATTAGATTTAGTATACAATTTATATAACTATTTTATAGTATCATTTCAATTTTGTTTCAAATCAGAGTAATTAAATTTTATATTTATACCAAAAGGGCATATCACTGAACAATACATTTCTGCTAATGATGGTAAAAAATCTTGTCTTCAAAACATTTTCATATTGAGCAGTATTTAATATATTTAGTAGTGTTTTCTAATTTTTATTTCTTATGGAGTTATATATATATATATATATATATATATATATATATAATCTCATAATTTACATCTTTGTATGAATTTCACAGATTCTTACCATTTTCTTAAGTTCTTCTCATCAATTCAACATAATTGTCAAAAACATGAAAACTATAAACTTTATGTGACTAAATTCAAAATGTTTCAAAAATTATTTTATTTACATAATTTTATTTCATAACTATAATAATTACAATTTTAATAATGTAATTAAAATATGAATGAACATACTTTTTAATAAAAAAACATTATAGTTCAATTAATTTTTTTTAAATCCAAAAACTTAAACTTTGTGATTAATTACCAAATCATGAGTACATTATAGTGCAAAGTGTATGTAGATAGTGCGAACAGTGCTAATTTTATTTCCAAAATTATCAAAAATCAAAATCAAAATACAATTAGTGTAAGTGTTTAAATTTCCCGCCCTTGATGTGTCACCCTCTCAAAGAGAGAGCGCTTTTCGCGCGTAATTCAAATTTAAAACCGCCGAGCGCAAGTGTCGCCGCCTAGCGATGAAAATGCGATAACGCGCGGCGGCAACAGAGTGTGCGAGCGAGAGAGATAGTGAGTGTGAAGAGGAAAACTAGAGCGGGAGAAGAGAGTAGCAGAATTTGGAGAAGAAGAGACTGAAGAGATTGAGGAACATTGATATTTTTGCACTTGAGATGTACAATCCCATCGTGTTTCCTTGGCAAGGTAAAGGATTTTAATTTGTTTTTCAAATTTAGATGATAATTTTTACATTATTGGGCTTATTCTCGGTTAACATAGCTATATTGTGTTATCAGTATCCCCCGCTGACATAACATGTTTTAAACAAGAGTACATTCTTTGAATATTTGGCATTCTCGGTGCATCTACTTTAATTGATCATGTTTTTCTTGATGTTGGCACCCAATATGTTGATAGTTACGAAACTCTCAAAAAGCTGTACCTATGGTGATTGTACGAGCATTTATTTAAATTTTTGATACTCTAAGCTGCTCAAAACTAACCCCAAAATAGGACAATTGCTATAAAAACATGACTTTACACCTATTTTATTTATAAGTGTAACAATTCAGTACTTTTTATTTTGAAGTACTTAATGCTATCTCCATGTTGTCATATAACATAAAACATGCAACGGAGAATAGCTATTACTTGGAACAAATTAAGTGTGACCCTAAGATGGGTGATTGAAAATTTTCTGTAATATTCAACAAATTATTTTGTTTGTCTGCAATTTTTTTGAAGATAAAGTTTCTCATGAAAAAGTTTAGTATCGTTATATTATTTTGTCATCCCTGTTTTTATATTATATATTTTTGCATATTACATAGTCACTCTAACTTTTGCAATAGAAAGTTTGTCTATTCTATTTATTTACAAGATTAATTTTGTACTTTTATTGAAATTCGAAACGTTTGCAAGATATTTTTTAAAGCACAACTCTAATAAATATCGATGTTTATATGAATACATATGTAAATTTGAACACACCCCACTTGTTATTACAGTAACTTTATTAATGAATAATGTTACAAACGTTTCGAGACTGTCATTAGGTTCATAATCAGTGTTAATGTACAACTAATAGTATTAAAATATATTTTATAAATAAATATTTTGATAATACTTAATAATAATTAATGATACAGTATTAATCGTACTATATTGACACAGTACTAGTGCTACATATTCTCATAGGCCTATAATATTTTAAGGACTTTTGTCTATCAACTTTTTTTTTAACTTGCCGTAGGGCAAGTTAAAGTTATCGCAAAAAAATCTAAAATGAAAATTTGTACATATTTTCACGTTTCAGAGATTTGTGAACATTTTGGCATACCTTAGAAATGTATGTCTGTGTGTGCGTGTGTGTGTGTATGTGTGTGTGTGTGTGCGTGTATGTATGTGTGTGCAGATACTAATTTTCGTCGACGATTTCGGGAACACGGATCAACCGATTTGATTAATTCAAAAAACATTCGATTCGTATTGATAATGAGACGTGCTGATTAGTTTTGTACTGACGAAATAAGAACTGATGAAATTTTTTGGAAAGGCAAGTCTAGCGGTTTCGGCGCCCACGCGCTACGATATTTTGCTTCTACGTAGTTAGCGTATCGCGATTGCTTTAAAGAAAAGTTCAAAATTTTCAAAACATCTCAAAGTATAAAAAAATTAAAATTTTTCAAAAGGGTAAATTTTTTCCAAAAATTTCAAAAACTCAAATATCCATTTTTGTTTCAAAGTTCTATAAAAAAATATAATCTTTTTTAAAATATTTAATTTTTTGTACGGAAAGTTCCAGCAGCTTGCCTTAAGGCACGATGCCATGCACCACTAGTTATATTTTTTTTATTATTTTTGTTTGATCATCTATCTACTTGGAATATGAAATCAATTGAGCATGATGCAACCATTGGTGTAGTTCTTCACAGTGTTTAGATATAGATTGCCAAATAAAAGAGAAAAAAGGGAAATAAGTCTATCAACTTTATAAGCATGCGAAATTCCAAATTGTCTAATAGGTGAATGTGTGATTTAAATATGTTTTTTTTGACAATTTTTTTTTGTAGTGACCCTTAGAATCCGAATATATAAAAAAATCCTACATTATTTCACTTACATTTCTCATTTTTACTTTTACTTATGTTAAACTATGAAGATCCAAACTATGATAAAAAAGGCAAAATTTTACAAATGACGGTTTAAAATTCAAAATAATAATCTAATATTTTCAATAAACCGAAATGGTTATCACCACTCACTTTATTTTACGATATAAAGTCAATTTCATATATTATAAAATTGTGTGCATATGTATAAGTGTGCATTTAACTACTTTTCTGACATATCCTACTTGGCAGCGAACACAAAAGTACTTAGAAAATAGACAGTTTGGTTATAAATATAATCGTATCGGGAAGTTTGTTGACGAATCTCGAATCTACAAACTAATCTTCCAATAAACGAAATTATAGTTTCATTCATGCTGATTGTTATATGGCTTTAGTATCACCACAAAAACTGGACTGCTTTTTGAATTTTGACTAGTTAGTGGCAAGTTGTGGAAAATCTGCTTGAATACTAACCTCCATCGTCCTGTTTTATTTTTATTTAATCTTAGTTTTAATAAAATCTCCATGTCTTAGGATATAATGAAGGGACATCATTTGATTTCTAATAAAATGCAACTCCTGTGGATCTAACATGTTTTCATTCAAATTTTGCAATATTATCTTTATTTTTGTCACAACAGTAATACCTATATAAATTTCGCCACTGGTTCACCAGCTTATTCATATAAAAATTACCAATAAAAGTTTTTATATGACTAATTATGGTTATGCATATACACCTATTAACATTTCTTTTTTCATATTTCAGATTTTAGTGCAGAAAACTTATTTGTTTAATTTAAAGCGAAATATCATACAATATTTTAGAATTTTAGATATAATTTCCTGAATAATAATTTTTAATAGAATATTAATTTTATGAATTTTAGATATAATTTCCTGTTTTTCAGAATATAATTTATTAATTACCCGCAGGGTAAGTAATATAAATACGTTTTCAAGGTTTCCAAACATTTTGATTTACTGCTTACTGATGCGTGTTTATGTGTGGCTACAATGTTTCGTCCACGTTTTCGAGCGCACGGATCAACCGATTTGAATAATTCAAACTGAAGGATTGACAAACTGATTTACTTTTTGGCAAATGCGAGTTGAGCCGTTACGAAAAAATGGAAAATCCGAACGAAAAAAATTCCGAATCGAAAAAAAATCGGATTTTAATTTCAATTCTAGCTAAAGTTCTCAAGCTCACTTATATACTTATATACATATATAAAATAATGCAATTAACTTTGCAATTCAGTTTATATAATTCTAATAAATATTAGACAATGACCTTCTAATGTATTTTTAATAATACATTTAATAACATTTAATATTCATCGAATATTTCATTACGGCACGGGAAGATTTCTTTAAGGCACAATGCCATCCACCACTAGTTTCTATAATACTTTTTTTAATATTTCTGCTAATATTTATTTTAAATTATTTTTACTAAATTAAACATTGTAAGCACGAACTAAATTAATAGGAGTAAGCTTTTTTTTATTGTTAATACCTAATTTTCCTTTTACACGAATTAAACTTTTTAAGCATGAAATATATTAATTGAAGTAAATATTTTTCATTATATTTTTACTTGATTTTCATTACTCTTTAGCTTATGTAGGAGGTCACGATTAATAGAAAAACTGAAACTAAATACATTTTTAAAGAAATTATTATACATTCTTGTGATTAATTTTATTTTTTAACTTTAATTTTAATTTTAATTTAATTTTTTAATAATTTTGTACTGTACTACTTTTTGTAGTAGAGTCTGAGAGAAACAATTGAACTGCACTTGAATACAATGTAGTAAAAATATATTAAAAACTTTTTATCTCGAGAAAATTCTTAAATCGCTGCAAAAACACGAATTTAGAAACAAAACCGATGAAAAGGTTCGAAACGTGACATTAACAAAATTTTACATGTTTTGTGTAAAAATTGTTTATAAAATTAATATTTTTTACTAAAGTTGTAATTTCAAGAAAAAATAACTTAACGCACGTCTCATTGTTGAAAGATAAAAATGATTAATAAATAATTGATACAAAGTTTCATAAATTATTTTGTAAGAGATTACAGACACGAAATTTATTTTCCAACTTATAAAACAAATAAGATTTTCATACTTAAGTAACCTAATTAATGTATTATTTATTAATCAAGCGAATACTTACTGATATTATATATTGATATTGATTTTATTAAATGATACAGTTGTATTAATATATATAAAATACGAATACTCGTATTTGAGTTCATAATTATTTTCGATCCGTTTCTTTTGAAATATATATAAAACTAACTAGTGGTGTATGACATGGCGCCTTAGGCAAATTGCTGGAACTTTCAGTTCCGTAATGATATACAATATTTCTAGAATATTAAATGTTTTTCAATATATTATAAATACTGTAACTTCAATTATTCGTACTTTATGCACAAAATAGAAGATCTTAAACAATGGCGTTTATATAAGTTAATTCAAATCGGATGCTACAGTTTTTTTCAAAAACTGCTATTTTTTGCACATTTAGCTCAATATCTGCGATACGTCTGGATCTGTCTTTGTCAAAAACTAATCACCACTTCTCCCCATCATAACGAATTGAATGTTTTCTGAGTCATTCAAATCGGAGGGTTCGTACTCTCAAAAACTCAATTTCTATTTTCTGCACTTAAATCTTCGTATTCCAAAACGGCTGGACCATCTTTTGCCAAAAATTAATCAGCACGTCTCCTTATCAATAGAAATCGAATGCTTTCTGAATAATTCAAATCGGTTGACCGGTGCTCCCGAAAACGTCCACGAAAACTTTTATTCATACATACATAGATACATACTACATACATCCATACACACAAATTCATTTTTTCTGAAGTATGCCAAAATTTTCAGAAGCCCTGAAACGTGAAGATATGCAAAAAATTTCTTTTTTGATTTTTGGCTGATTACTATAACTTAAAACTTATTACTTAAAGCTTTCCTTACAGGAAGTTGAAAATAGTAATATTTAATTAAAAATAATAATATTTTTTTTGTTGCCCAAAAATTTGTGTGCAATGACTTATTTGTTT